TTCACGCAATGCTATTATTCATACAAGTCGACCTGTTGCGGCTACGCCCGCGGCACAGGGCATGGGGATGTCGCCAAACTGGGGATAACAATAGAGATGTGGCATGGGGATCTGTGCCCGACCTGTTTATGCAAAGTCAGAGTCATCCTCAGCAGAGAGTGCACTGTCCTCGTGTTTTTCTTCCCAGGCCATTTGTTGATTTATGCATATTATCCTTTGGGACATCCGTTAGAATTGGAACGATACAAAGAAGATTAGCATGGCCCCTGAAAAGAAAAAGGAATTAAAAAAAGAAGAATGATTTATGCATAAATTGCATAATATCATCCTCATGCATTGGCGTTTACCGTGATCGCAACTACGGGCCCAAATGAGACAAAAGTCCCTCTCTCTCTCTTTCTCTCTCTCTCTCTCTCTCTCTCTCTCTCTCTCTCTCTCTCTCTGTCTGTGTGTGTGTGTGTGTGTGTGTGCGTGTGTGTGTGTGTGTGTGTGTGACACACACACACACACACACGCACACACACCCCTGATGAGAGTTTGGTCATCCGCCCGCAAATCTACACAGGCCCCCTGCACCTCGCCGAACCTCCTCCTCACCCTCGTGTAACCCCTTTTTGCCCCTTTTTTGACCTCTTCCTCTCCCTTGCACAAGATACTACTACTCGTCCAACCTCCTCGTCCCCTAGTCCAACTTCTTCCTCCCCTCCTCCCGTGACCTCCTCTTCCTCGCGCGACCTACTCCTGCCCTTCGTGCGGTCTCGTCATTAATACCTTCCCCCTCTCGCACGATCTCTTCCTTCCCCTCTCACACCTTTCTCCTCCCGTGCTCACAACCTCCTCCCCCACCTGTGACGACCCCCTCCCAACCTCTTTCCGACCTCCTCCCAAACAGAACACACCCTGAGAACGAATGTATATAAGCGATGTTTCCACCGGTGAGGGCAACACACGGGCAACCCACGGAAAGCGAAAGGTGGATAACAACACCCCAGCAGGAAACAGCGACATCAACACAACGCTTTCAAAATATGATTTTTAAATTTTATTTTTTTTAAGCTCCAATCTATTGGTGGGGAGCAGCACCTGCTGGAAAACGGGTCCAGCATCCCAATGTACATCCTAAAAACTGGGCTTGACTAATGCCCCCCATCTTTTCTCTTTGAGTACCATAATGCCTCTTCACGATCTCACTCCCCTCATTGACCCCACCCTTCCTCTCCCATATCCTGCTTTCATCTGGACTAGGATTCTTGAGTTATGAAATTATTATCTAAGATCCTTGAGTTATGCATTATTGTCTGTGAACTGCATTGTTGTCTGTGAACTGCATTGTTGTCTGTGAACTGCATTACGTTTGCCATCTGCCCCTCTATCAGGCAGGCATCTTTTCTGCCTTCCCCACATCCAACGTGATGCCGTCCTAATTCATTTTTTGGAAAGGGCGTGTGGAACCACTAGGGCGGTGTGTTGGTTCTGGCGGCCTGATCAGGGCTGAAGAGGTGGTTCGGCAATGGGATCCTCGGTTACTGCTAAACTCCTATTTGCACTTGGCATATCCTCCACTACCTGCTCAGTCAATCCCCTGGTGACAAATAGATGGAGCCCTCCCGCGAGTGCTAGTGGTGCCCCTACCATCCGCCCGGGCTTCCTTCTGTAAAAAAAAAAAAAAGAAAAGGAAAAAAAAGGGGTGAAGAGGCTGTGCTGTTCGTAGAAGTGCCAGAGATACTATGGTTTTGATGACGAGGATTCACGATAGATCAAGGGGCCCAATAGTTCATTCCCGAGCAGTGGCAGGGTGATCTTTTGCCCTGCCCACAGAGTAAAAACGAGATTGACAAGAAATCCAGATGCAAATACATTCGAACATTATTTTGAAATAAGAAATCTGCAACTCCTGCAAAGTAGAATAAGTGACATTGAGTGGTACATTAACACAACACCACGAACGTTAATATTACTGCTTTGTGTTTACGAAATGTACATGGGTGTTGTTTACGAAATGTACATAGCTCTGCGGAGGAAGGTGAAATATAAATATCAAATTCCCCTCTCGTGCCAGTGTGATCATCTCTCAAAAAAAAAATCATCAGCTACATGGGACACCAGACTTCATCAGTGTTATGTCAGACTCTGCCATTACCTACACTACATTACGTGCCGTATCAGGCCTGGGTTCGCCTGCATGTAGTTTACGGCCACCATTCCCTCTCCCCCYCCCCCTCCCCCCCCTCGCCAATACTCTTCATCCCCTTTGCACCGCCATTTTTGTCCCTACTAAGGCTCCCACTGGCTTCCCATGATGGACCACTCATGCTGATGACGGGTACAGGATAGTGTACTCACAGAGCAGATAAGATCATTAGGATATTTGTGTGCAATGTTGACACAGAACTTGTTGAAGACTCCGAGGATCCTGAAGAGCCTGGTCACTGGTAAAGTAGACTTTGAAAGAGGGTTCTTTCAGGAACAATTGATGGATACGAACTATTGTCGTTGGTCTTGCTGCTGCGCCGTAAAGGAGTCCCCCTCACAGGGAATGAACATCTTCCCACTACCGGTAGTGGCCCGAAATGGAACCAACTTCACTCTCCTACCCCGGCCGACTACATGGAAAAACACAAGTGTTGCACCTCCTCCATCTCATCAGCTAGGAAAGGAAAAGGTTACATTCGGTGTGAAAAAAGACTTCTAGTATGCTGCTAACTTGAATTGACCCAGATAGTGGCACTTGTCTCTCTCCCGGTGACTACAGATGGCCTTGGCCTCCAAAACAACGCCGATGTTCAAGTTGCATGTACCACAATTCCATGCAGAGGGACTTCTTCAACTGAAGACCCCGTCACATTATGTTCAGAACTCATGGATTGTTGGAAAGCCAATTTGGAAAGAACTTGTCAGTTACGGGATGATTCTAGAGGTATTCGTAACGGAAGGTCAAATGTATCTCACTCAACCGGAATATTTTTCTGCCTTGCATGACTCTGCTGGCGAAGAAAAAAAAGACGTTAAACGGCAACGTAAACGACCATTTTGGCCGAAACTTAAGAACCAAGCCTGCTTTGAGCCCAACTGGAGGCTGCCAACATATTTGTTTGGTTCTGCAGACGGACCAACCTGAGGCACCCTCCTTGTATGCCAGTTCAGGCTGCAGGCAAGGGAGTTCTGTGAGAGGTAGGCAACCTGTTTGGCCTGCTAAGCCAAACCAGCGGCGGTTCCCTTGTGTGAAGGTACAGATTGCAGATGAGTGGCCCGGAAGCGCGGAAGCAAAAGTGCCGAACCTCCCTTTTGACATGACCCTGTTGCGTACCATGGGCCAGCAGCTTCTGTTGTTTCCTTAAATATCTTGATGTCCCTCCACCGTGCAGGGTGCCCCTTGGCCGCTGCAAGGATCACTGTTGAGAAGGTTCCAGTCTATTGTTGGTGAGCGGGATGTGCTGGGAACCGAGCCCAGCGTCACAATGAACAAGTCAAAGCACAGAATACATAGACTGGCAAGATTGGTCTTACTGTCTTAGAGCTGGAAGATGGAACAACGTTGATTTCCCTGAGGGAGCCAGGGGATCTACTACTCAAAGATGGGCAAGAGAATTAAACACTGAACGTCGCCCTCTTAAAACTGCAGGGCTAACTGACCCTCAGCCCCGTGCAGTGGTGGTGTAAGGTATGTGCTAAGATGGCAATGGCCTTAGTCATCCCGGTCAAGTATGTGGGCATAGTAGGGCACACTGAGCCCAGTGAATCCTAACTTACCTCCCAGTAAACGAGTGAGTGAGTGAGTGAGCGAGCGATCACGGATGTCAAAGTGGCAGCCTTTTCCACTGCAGGTCTTGGCTACCTACCCTCCCCTTAGTGGGGGCCTTTGCTACCTACCGCCCCCTCTCCGGGGAACTTCAGTATGTAGGAAGGGGGAGGCAGAGGGGGGGACAGGAGGGGAGTGGGTGTCGTGCCGAGGGTAGGTATCCCAGCACATGTCGTGATATGGACGTATGACAAAAGGCTGTGCTCACTGATTGGAATCTCAGCTGTAGTGCTAAGCAGGGCCTCGGCTATAGCAAGATGCCACTCGCTGACGTAAATCCCCATAAGTTTGTCAGTGCCTGGATGATGATGATGACGAGTGGGGATGGCGATGATAAGAGGCGATGATAAGAAACCTCTTGGTTCTCGACATTGTGGTGTACCTTGGTGAAGACACAGCAGGCTGAAGTATTGTAGACTTCTTCAATCAGAGGACTCAACCAGGTTGTCTGGCAACTTGCTCCTTCTGGCCAAACGGTATGGAGTCCAAGAATCTCTGTTTATCATCAGACCTGAAGTTGCATATAAGTTGTGACGTCCAGTAATCTGCCGCACTAATTAATGGGCCACTTGATCGGCAACAAGACTGAGAGTATATCCACCTCTTGCACCTATCATCTCCCAAAATTGGCACCACATTCATGAAAGGATACTCTCGTTGACTGTGGACTGTTAAAAACTTTAGAATGTGTGATCCAACCCGGAGCTATCCATTATGCCACCAGGTCACAAGGAAAACATGGCAGATAGGGAGGCAGGAGGCTGCAGCCGGTAGAGGATGTCAGGTGTCAAAGGTGGGCAAACAAACCACCACCACCCTTGTCGTTTCCTTGTCGCCCTCAAGTCTGGTAAAGATTAAAACAGGCATGATATGGTGAGACTATGGTTGGACTTCCCAAGATGTGGCTGACCGTACTGGTGACCAGATTAAGTCGAGAAAATCACAATGTATGCAGGGAGAGAGAGAGAGAGAGAGAGAGAGAGAGAGAGAGAGAGAGAGAGAGAGAGAGAGAGAGAGAGAGAGAGAGAGAGAGACTCGATTGGAGATCTGGGACTTTCCAAAACTTTCCTTTGCCCCAGAGATGGACCACCGTCTCTGGGACTTTTTGGGAGTCCCAGGATCCCAGAGGCGAACAGACAGGGCATCTGGGACTTTGCAGAAGTCCCTTGGCTCCGGAAGACCATTTGGGACCGAGGCTTACTATGTCGGACTTGCTACTTATTGTTTGTGGTGGATTACCTGCCTTAAGAGCCTGCTGCTAACCTTCGTCACTGCCCTTACTTGTTGGAAGAGCCTGAGCAGGAAGTTCTGAACCCAGGTTCGAACCCCATGTTTGGCCATGTTTTGCAGTGGGATAAAAGCACGATAGGAGACGTGACCTCGGTCTCTGCATGGCTGCAGCAATTGCAAAAAAGGCGGCTAGCCGTCCATCGTCCTCAATCGTTGGTGCTGTCGTCGTCCTGGAATCATTGTCATGGCCGGTTTTGGCCCTTAGGGGAAGTCGCCAGCCCGCTCGGCTAAGGCTAAGGTCTGAATGGGTTTCTGGGCCTTTGGCAAGAACAACCACTCCATCTGCAGCCATCGAGCTTGACCCCTGAGTCTGCAAGCCCCCGTCTGATGGAGGGTAAAGGGTATGGTCCAGAGTAGGGGTTGACACCCAAGATAACCCCACCAGGCCGGTCCCGTTACGGCCATTACACAGCCCCTCGGTTACATCAGATTCCCAGTCACCCATGGGTGTACCAAGACTTCCAGTCTTGGATACGGCTTCCTCCCTCTCTCTCTCCCTCTCTCCTTGCCATTGCCTCTCCCTCTGCATCTCCCTCTCTTTCCACCCCCTCACAAGGCCGAATTCTGTCTCTTCCAAAGCAGCTTTACTGCCTTCTAGGTCTTTCCTTCCCTGGGCCACTGCATTGCCTGTCAAGCTGGGCTTCTCCCTCTCCCTCTCACTCACCGTTGCCACTCGCTCTCCTCCTATGCTCACTGCAGCTGAGCTATTGTTCCTTATCTTCTTGACGCTGCTGCTTTCTACTTCCCTCCCCAAGTTCTTCTTGCTCCCATGGCTTCCATCACGCTGCTCTTGCTCCTCCACCTGCTGCTGCTGCTTCTGCTGCTGATAATGATGATGGTGATTTGCATGTTGTTGATGACAGTGCTGATTGTGATGCAACTGAAGCTGATGCAGCTGACTGTGGCGATCGTTCTTCTGGCCATGGCACTCATCCAGGATGACATCCTGCTGCTGCTTGTGGTGTTGGATATGGTGATGATGATGATGTTGTGTGCTGCTGCTAGCCTCTGGTTGTGCTGAGGGTATGCGACATGCAGCGGGCGTCTCGATGCCACAAGACTCTGACACTGTGGTTTTGGTGTCCGTGATTGTTACTGTCGTGCTGTCGCCCGAGGAAGTTGCAGTTGCAGGAAAGCTCATCCTGTGGATAGCCTGCCGCACCACACGGAACTCGACCATGAGGTTGTCGGCTGAGATTTGATCCTGCTGTTTCATGGCCAAGACATTGGCAGAGATGCTGGAAGTTTCGCTATTATCACCCATAGCGGACATAGCGGACAAGTTGGCGGTGGTTGAAGGCAAAGTGCCCCCCTTCTTCTCTGATCGCCGAGTCTCTCTGAGCTTGGCAAAGATCCTTCTAACCTTCACTACCAAGATGCAAACGACACTCCGCGTTGGACAACTACTACCACAATGCTCTTTGGCCAAATCTCTACCCCCGTGGCTATGACTGTGTCCCCCGCTGCTGCGGCTGTGGTGATGGAGATGGTGATGGCAGTCCCTCCTGCTGTCCTTGTTGCCTAGCTCGGTGCTTCTGCTTGTCGCATAGGGGTCGCTGTTGTTGTTGGGTCTGCCATTAATTCCATGGTCATTGCTGGAGGTGTTGTCCAAAGCAAAGAATTGGCTCCATAGCTTGTCGAGAATGTCGTCATCGTCTTCATCGGCGTCCGTGACCACATACCCCCCTTCTCCCGCCTTGCTCCGTAGAAGTTCCAGCTGACTGATTGTGGAACGCTTGCTGCTTGACTGGGTGGGAAAGAAGGAAGATCGAGATATTTCAGTAGAGGAACAGAGGAAACTGGAGATGACTGCTGCAGTTGCTGGGGGGTAGTTTGCCAGGGCCGGGGTATTGGTGGGGGAGGTATTTGTGCCGGGTGTATTTGCCAGTAGTGCATTTGCAGCGGAGGGAGAAGAGGTGCTTGTGGCGGCGGTGGTGCAAGGCAAGGAGGTATTCGCGAGGTGGGTAATTACAGTATTGGGGTAAGGAGGGACGGGTTCACTGCTGCTACCGGTAGTGCCAGCATCCTGTTTAAGCGCTGGTCTGGACACATCTGAGATCAGTCCTGTCGAGGAACTTGGGCTAAGCAGCCAGTTATTATGGGATAGAGGGGATAGAGGTTGGGAGGATGGGGAACATTGCCGGGTCATGGTGGCGGTCGGGGTGGTGGTCCCCGCCGTGGTGGTGGTGATAGAGCATTCAGGGAAGTACATGGTCAGACCGCCTAAGACGTGGATGATGTCATCAGGATCGGGGCGCTCGCTCGCAGAAGGATTCCAGCAGGCGGTGATAAGCCGAGCAACCTCAGGTGGACACGTGTCTGGGATATGTGGTCGAAGCCCCTGTTGCATGCAGCACATGCACCAAAACACACAACGAAACACATCATTAGAGTACAAGAAAAGACATCAAAGTGAAATGCAAGACAGATCAATGGGCCTAGTTCAGTTGGTACACCCACAAACTGTTGAAATATAGACCTGAATTGGAATCCAGCTGGATCTAGATGAACGGAATTCCTCACTTGCTTGGGGCCGGTCAGTTTCAAGGATGTCGCCCTATTATTAAAAGTAAAAGAAACAAGATGAGAAAAAAACAAGAAGTGCAAGATAAAACTTGGGACAAAAAAAGAACACCGGCAAAACGCAAACAAATGCAAACAAAATGCACACGAAATGCAATTGAAGCACGGAAAAAGAAAAGTAAACAACAACGACGAGGACGGCCACAAGGAGGAAAGCGAAAATGAGAAAACTATGAGATTTTTTTGGAGGAATGATAATTTTCAGCGAGCAGCAATGAACAATTACTGATCTTCTGATAGCAATTTGGGCAACAAGGAGCTTCAACAAGGACCTTGTGATTGAATGGTATGCATACCCAACTTCTGAAATGGCTTGCAACTTCTGATAAACAGATCACAACTTCACATCTTGATGGGCAATAACGTTAGGTGTTACTCTTTTTTCTTTGAGAGGGAAAAGGAAAAGAGAGGGTGGAAACGAGCAATGCACAGATTATTCACACATCCTCCAGACCTTGTCGACATAAGAGCATACATGCATGTTGGGTGTTCTTTCGACGAAAGAAAAGGAAAGCAAACCAAAAGAAAAAGACAAAGACAACGACACTCCTTCGACAGGAACAATGACTAACTTATAAGAGTTCCTGCCTGACCGACCACGGCAAAAGGAGAAAAAAAAACAGACAAAGGTGTAATTCCTATCGTCGCAATCATCATCATCACCACTACTATCACCAGAGTCAGGATTATTCATCACTAGTTGTCATCATCGTCATCATCATGATCATCATCATCATCATTGTTATTATTATCATCTTCCTATCATCATGTTTATCATCATCATCATCATCACCATGGCAAGCTAATAAATTTGTCGTCGTTTTTTTGTGATTGTCGTCATCGTGCTCAGCATTATCACCATCACAATAAACATTGGTTGCGGCACCCTCATCACAATCATCGTCGTCAACATCCACATCAGCATCACCATCACCATCACCATCACCATCATCATCATCATTTCTCCTTTTTTTTTTTTTTTTTTTTAACAAAAAGGGGCCCAGTGCCCAAGGCTAATATTACCAATAAGAGGAATGAGGCCGGGGTCCTCACAGTCTGCCCGGAGAAACCGAACCGAACTTGCTGAGAACCAGGCTCAGCGTCCCTCGTGTGGTGACGATAATGATGATGATCATGATGATGATGATGATACTAATGATGATGATACTGATGGTGATAAAAAATGTATTAATTGTAGTAAGCTATGCTATATTAACAATTCTGGTCTCCTAATCCTAGAGCAACTTCGAGCCCTCCCTGTACCAGGACATTGTAAATCCGAGACAAAACCAACCTAACCAATGTCACCCATAGCTGATCTCTCCTCACCACCGAGCAGCCCCCCCCGATTTGCCAGTGGATTGCCTTCCTCCCTCGGCAACCCCCAGATCTCTCTACAAGGCCTCCCGCTCCTGCCTTTGCAGATTACAGGGCAACGCCCCAGCTCCGACAAAACAGGGGCACAGAAAAGAACAACTCTGCAGATATCGGTCCGGGCTCGACCATCTCTGAAATCCTATATCCCGGATGTGCTGTCCAAAAATTCCAGAACACCAGAAAGCTTAATATAACAATGATGAGATAATGATACTAATGATGATGATGATGTTGATGAAGATGATTATGGTAAAAAATTAGAAGACTATGCTATATCAGCACCACTGGCCTCCAACTCCTAGAGCACCTCCTAGCCCTCCCTATGCCAAGACCTTACATCTCAGAGACTATGCCCTCCTAACCAATGTCAGCCATAGCTGACCTGTTCTTGCCACTTAGACTATTCCTAGCCCCATAGGTCGTCAAGGCAGCCCCCCCAGTTCGTCACTTGGATTGCCTTCCTCCCTCAGCAAAACCCCAGATCTCTCTACAAGGCCTCAAACCCCTGCCAATGCAGGTTACAGGGCAACACCCCAGCTCCGGCCAGCGTCGTTTTGGCATCGACGAACCAGGGGCACAGAACAAGGCAACTCTGCACATATCGGTGCTGATTCGATCATCTCTGAAATTTATATCCTGAATGAGGAAGTAGGCCAGATGCCGCCCAGCATTTCAGGAAACCAGGATGCATGGTATAACATGGATGATGATAATGTTACACCTACGGTTAATCTCCCCCTCCCCTCCTTTCCACCCTGTCATGAAGCTGCCTCCGCCGAGATGGATTACCGAGAGGCAGCCATAACAGCCCCAACTTGGGACAGTCCCACCTTCCCCCCCGCTATCTCAGAGAGGCATACAGTTCCCTCCCAAAGTATGCCTCTGCCTACCCTTTACCCTGATCTGCCCTCGTTGATGTGAGTACTCCCACCCCAACCACAGAATAAGGCAACCCACTACTTATGCTCACACCACCTCCAGGGCTTCACCTCCCAGCTTGTGTCGCCCCTGCAGAGTGAAGCTCTCCCCTGATCCTCACCTCCCATCCATCAGGAACAAACGTCTATTCTCAAAGAGGAGAAACTAGATACCAGAGATCCGGCTGGCATTTCGAAAATACGCTAGAGAAATTCGAGGGATTTCAAATGCTATTCAAAAAACTGATTTGAGTACTAAATACTTGGAAAGTGAAAGAGATTCAGCGATGCGAATTATGAATTAGAGGAATTTTAGGTAATTAAAAATTACCATGCCAAGAAGTTTTAGGTATATAAAGATACATTTATGTTAGCTAGACGAGGAATTTAAAGTTTTAAAGCTAGGTGAGATGGAGAATGTATGAGACTTTAAATAAGATGTTAGTTAGAGTAAATTATTTAGGTTCGTAATGAGATGCTAATGAAATGATAATGAGATAATAATACTAGAGGTCAAAATGATGTTAAAAAGCATGATAATGAAAAAGATGATGATGATTTTAATGATGACGACAACGACGACAATGATGAAGATGACAATGGCAATCCAACACCATCCTCCTATACCTACTTACCTTGATGTTGGTCATGGAGATGATGATGATGACAACTATGCTGACTACTCACGTTGATGATGAAGATGATGATGATGATGATGATGATAATGATGATAAAGCCCCTCCTCTGGCCCTGCTCGTATTCTTTCGTGTCTCTTCCACCGTAGATCTGAGCCTCTCTCCCTTTCTCTGACCCCGCTGAAACGCCATCCCAGTCGCGTTCATAGCCGGAGTAAATCTTCTTTCCCCGCCCATGTACCTTCTGGCCCCTTCTTCAATGTTAATACCAATGAAGGCAGTGCATCTGATTCCATGCGCCTGGCATGGCAATCATCAGCCGACAACGCTCGTGGTCAGAACAGAAAAGTGTACTACAAAGCCGATCCACCATGACTCGTAGACCCGCTTTCCATCAGGGCGCAAACGCCCCGCTGCGTGCACTCCTGTTGTGCGCGTCACCCCGCCGGGCTCCTCCCCCCAGATGCGGCGCGCGGCAAGCTTCGAACGCCCCGCCCACGTGCGCTCACTGTAGCGCTAACCTGGCCGATGGATGTGATGGGCAGCGCAGCGCTAACAGGAGTGCTGCGCCGCCCCCTGTATTGTCACTCCGAATCTCCCAAGGGATCATCATTTCTCCTTCATAATCGTGATTGTGCTCATCATCCTCATTGTGATGATCACCGTCTTTATGATTGCAATACTGATAGTAACCCTAAACATCGTTCAAACTTTGTTGTTACTAACTCCATTATTTGTGGTTGTCATCACTCGCATGCGTTGTAATCAGCAAGCAGTCCTTGCAAAAATGAGTGAATTGTCACCTCCATTTACAAGCGAAATCATCATCCACACGTAAAATTGACCACTCTTTGTTCCTCTTCCCTATATCTACATCATTTTCTATATTGACATTCTCGATATCTACATCTATATTTATATTGGCATGTATCTGTATGTAATGTATATTATATGTGTCTATATAAATATCATTAAACATAGTTGTCTAGTAAACCATAGGCAAAGAGGGAGAAGAGGACAACAAACGAGTGGCAGTGACAAACTGTTTCGTCAAAGTTTCACCACCAGAGAGAGAGCTGAACTCTCTACAATCTGTAAATCCCCTAACCAGTTGTATTGAAAGTGATAATCCACCTTTACTCCGGTTGTGGTCAAAGCATCAAAGATTGCCGCACAATTGATACCCTGAGTTGGGCACCAGCCACTGCCCTCAAAGTAACTGTGACAAAAATCAAAGCAGACTATCACTCACCCACACGACACGAAAAACTCTATAGATTGAAACTCCTATGAAACAGTTTATCACAACCCGTTGTTTGTCGTCCTTTTCTCCCTCTCCTCCTAAAATTTACCAAGCAGATCTATTTAACAATATGTTTGTTTGTGCATCCATCCATCCATCCATCCATCCATCCATCTCGTCCGTCCGTCCGTCCGTCCGTCCGTCCGTCCGTCCGTCCGTCCGTCCGTCCGTCCGTCCGTCCGTCTGTCCGTCCGTCAGTCCGTCCGTCCATCCGTCCGTCCGTCCGTCCGTCCGTCCGTCCCTCCGTCCGTCCCTCTGTCCGTCCCTCCGTCCATCCCTCCGTCCATCCATCCATCCATCCATCCATCCCTCCCTCCATCCCTCCCTCCCTCCGTCCGTCCGTCCGTCCGTCCGTTCGTCCGTCCATCCGTCCGTCCGTCCGTCCGTCCGTCCGTCTGTCCGTCCGTCCGTCCGTCCGCCCGTCCGTCCGTCCGTCCGTCCTTCCGTCCGTCCATCCGTCCGTCCATCCGTCTGTCCATCTGTCCGTCCATCCGTCCCTCCGTCCGTCCCTCCGTCCCTCCATTTG